AAAAGCTACTATGTTATCATTTCAGGACTTTTATTACATTATCAGCCATTTTTATTGGCTTCTACAAACCCTCTTCAGTCAAGTTTCCGGGAAAAACTCGGCAAAAACGGTTAAAGAAAATTCACTTTTATTTGTTTCTGGACAGTCCTTTCTTTCACTGGTTAAATACAACATCACAAGTAGCCACACTGAGGCCCTGGAGTGTTCGCCAGAGCAGCGTTACACGACAGCTTAGTTCATTGATCCAGGGCAGGAAGTAAGACTGTTGTTTTTTTTTTTCCTTGAAAGTGGTGAGTGAAGCTGAGGAACACGCTTAAAAAAAAAAAATAAAAAATGCCCAGGACAAAAAAAAAAAAAAAAATCAAAATGTGAAAATGAAACTAAAGAATGTATCTGCCAGCTGAGCGACAGACTTTTTGTTTCGGTAAATGGCACAATTTTTCACTACCGGCAAACACGAAATTCCTTGTTGCTTTGCTCGTGGTGTTTGCAGCCTGGAGTGGAGGTCTTCACATCCACAGCTCGGTATTCCTTTTCAAACACTCCCAGAGGAAAAGACCTGAAGCGGATCCGATCAGCAAAAAAATGAAAAATACCCTCAAATTGTAAAAAAAAAAAACGACAGTAATTTTCACCGCTGATCGGCATCACACTCCGGTCATCAAGTCCCCGTGTGAGGGAAAAAAAAAATCTGCCAACCTGATAACAATCCCATTTGTAGTTTAAAAAAACAAAATAAAAAGAAGAAATAATATATGTATTTACACAGATATTCACACATACAGCCATATTTGAACACATGGAGCTGTACATACCCAGACAGTGCATAAAGCCACCAGGAACCGTTTTGGTGGCGAAATCTCAGTCACAGCTGTTTTCACATCACTACAATCTACAGTCACAGATTTAAAAAGAAGAAGAAAAGAAAAGAAAACCATCATCAAATCAATTTAGACTACAATGTGCTTATGCCTGCATACAAGTTTTCCCTATTTGCGAACCACGACGCTGGGTATTATGGCAGTTACAGATGGTTTTTTGTTCCTCGGGACGCTACAAGCGTGTGCCTGTGGTCTCAGTGTTCAGTGCTGCTCATAACAGTTTATATACAAAACTTCTGGACAAGTGGTAAAAAGCATAAGCAACGTGAAGTCCAATTTCCATCCCCAGCGTTTTGACTATTTCCTATGTACTCTTTGTAATCAGTTATCCCCACAATCTGCTGTATACGAGATGATTCTCACTGTGACTGGACATTCATATTCAGCCGGATAACGGACAGACATTAACTCGTAACGGACATGAGCGTTCCCAAGGCAAGAGCATGGTTTTGTTAACAGCTGATATTCTGGTTTGTTTGTTGTTTTCCTTCATAATCACTGAGATCCAGACGTTACTGATTGTTTACAGCTGACTGGATCCACCTACGTGATAAAAGTGAGGCATAGTATGGCAGGTTGAGGATTTGGGTTTCAAAAAATAATGAAGAGCAGATTCCCTTTGTCGTGACCACAGACTGCACAGAAAAGATGGACATCAAGATTACGTGGAAGTGCCAGAAAACTGCATTCTTGCTAATGGCCAGCAGGAGGCGACTTAATTTGTTACCTCAGTAAACACTTTCCTAATGAGTCTATGATCTGAACTGCTAGTTTCACATCTCCTTCAACGCGGCATGGCGTTCATTTAGAACATTTTGGTCCCAATTAGAGGACAACAGATGATCAGCGCAGGGTATGTTTGAGGACAGGTCGACCTACAGTTACATGTTGATGGCAACAGCCCAATTCCCAACTCAACAGCTGTTTACAAGTTAAATGGGTAATGTCGATAGGCTGCATATAAAGGTGAACGAACCCTTCATGAGGTCACCCACAGCTTTCCTGAACAGCAGTTTTTAATCTCAGTGTTCCGGCTCTGGTCAGATGTGCCCGACTCCTCACTCCAAGGCTAATCCAAAAATAGGTGGAGCTAAGGAGAGCCATAAATTGTGACGACGTATCTGTCACTCAAAAAAACACGCACTTAATTATGCATAAAATGTACCTCCTGTGCAGGAATTACGAATGAGGAAATTAGCTACAGAGGCCAAAACCGTTCTTTGTACCAGGCTGTAAACATGTTTACTCTGCTGTGGAGGTGAGCATTTTAGCATGGGAGTCAATGTGGACTGACTCTGTTTTAGAATCAGCCTCAAGTGGCCGTTCAAGGAACTACACATTTTGGTACTTCCACGTGAGTTTCATTTTCCAGCTCTGGACGTCACCGCCTGGTGCCACACGGTGGTTATGTCCATCTCTTCTATACGCTCTGTGGTCATGACAATCTCTGATATGATCTGAAACACAAAAATGTGCTCAAAGATAAAGAAAACTGGTCAGTTTTCAACACCCAAGGCCAAAAAGGGATTTGAAAGGATCAAGCTACACACAAACAAACGTACTTCATCCAAACCGCAACCGTACAGTCGTCACATTATGTATGTTCTTGACTTTTGAAATGAGAGATAACACAGATGGTAAATAAGGCCTGTCTTGTCTTTTTTTGGCCTTGCTTTGAAAACCAGTTCGATGAGAAACCAAGTGCTGCAGCCACAACTGAATGCCCTTCGCCTTGGACACATAGTTTGAGTCGCACAGAGGAACAGTGTTTTACCCGACTGAGAAAAAGCAGCAAGACAAGTTACATGATAAACCGTATAAAAGGTGTGATAATATCTGTAGAAGCAGGAGAGTGCGACGCCCGGCGGCGTTGTGGCGTTTGCGGTGTCCAGTGCAGACGGCTTGTTCCCTCAGAGTGAGTCCGCTCCGGTGACGGTTTTTGGACGCACTCTTCATTCAAGCGCTGCGCAACTTAACCACACACTGTCGCCATGGCAGCAGACTAACAAAAAGTATATACTGAAGACGTGTATATAAAAAAAAGCCATAAAAAAAGAACGAATCAGCATGAAGACACGACACCTCAGAAGGAAGGGAGAACCGGGAGGTCAGACAGAAGTCAAAGTGGAAGGTTAGTTGAGGTCACCCTGGTCAAGTCTTGCCCTGGTTAGTTGGTATCTCTGTGTCACCACAGAGCAGAATGTTGAATTAATTAGAGGGAAATTCATACAATGTTTTACAGGAGGAAGTTTTCAGTTTGAAAATAAAATGCCCCAAACCCCTTAAAACATACAGTATATATATATATAGCTATTAACACGTATCACAGAGATTTCCAACTGCAAATCATCCAATGATAATTTAAAAAAAAAACAAAACAAAACAAAAAAACAAACTAGGTGACTGAACCTTTAAACGCTGGACACAGCTGCCAGAGTTCTGAGGTTTGGTCAACAACACTACTTGAGGCATTCCTGTTAATAGAATTAAACTGAAATGGCGTTTCCCCAAGGCATATTATACATTCATAATACTATTTTAGTACGACTGCGTGTTCGTGTACGTGGCTGTGTTTGTACTGAAATACCTGCCACGAAATAGAAATTATCTGCATTAAAGCAGAATCGTATACGTGTGTGTGCGTACTAGCTTGTGTCTCTATCTTTGTGAGGACCAATGTGAGTCGTAGACCTTGGGAGCGGCCGGTCCTTACTTCAGGAAAGACCTAACAAGACAGGCTGGCTGAGGGTTAAGACTTGGGTGGGGTTCGGGTTCGTTAAGGGTTTAGGGATTTACTCGTGATGGTTACGGGCAGGACAACAGGTAGGGTCCCAACAAAGACAGAAGTACAAACGTGCGTGTGAGTGTTTTGTCTTTGCATGGCTCGTCTGGGCTCCTGTCCTCGCGACTGAAGCACATTTCCGTAGGAAACAATTGCACCTCATTGGCTCAACCAAGTTAGCCAATCACCAATGACGGAAGCCAGAGCCCCTGGACCCGCCCCATGGCCGAGACCAGAGTTCAGTTGGTTGGTTGGATCGGGAATGTGTGCGTGCGTGTGTGTGTGTGTGTGTGATTGTGTATGTTGTGTTTGGGGACAATGGAAAAAGAGGGCCACAGTCCTTTCCACTTGCAGTGTCCTCACGGATGGAGGGGATGCGGTTTCCGTGGTGATGGAAGTGAAGTGTCGGTAAGCAGAGGAGCGGAGATGCCTAAACCTCTGCTCCTTTCAAGCCGATTCGTTCCTCCTCCTGTCAGTCACTACTGGACTTCTTGAGGGAGAAGGCGAAGATGTTGAAGTGGTGGCTGAGCTGTTGTACCTGGCAGGAAAGGAGAAAACATTCATTTTCCGACACATCCAAACTCACAAACTGATCTGATAACAATTCTGTGGATTGAGAGGATTTTGCCACATTTAGCGGCACAACAACTCAATGAGAAATTCAGGAGATTTATTGTAATAAATATCTAGTCGTCCTAAAGCTGCAACTCAAAGAGGCTGACAATTTATTAATTTATGTCCGTCACGCTGAATTTTAGAATACTGGGTGTTTTATCACTGACAACTGCAGCTGATAAACCCCTTCAAAAGAAATGCAGCCTTCATAATATATTACTAAAACTACCATTAATTTAAAAAAATACTCAAAAGGCTAATTTTGTTCAACTTTTTAGCTATAAATGGACTTCATTCTGGCTTCAGAATCCATCTCAGGACTGAGATTGCACTAAAAAATGTGGTAAAGGATCAGTGTGTAGGTTTTAGTGACATCTAACAGTGAGGTTCCTTTATCGCCTTTAAATATAATAATAAAATATACATTAAGAAAACCCATAGTGACTGCAACTTCAGCATTAAAAGTCCCTCTCCAAGCTCACAAAAATGACATTGATTGCGAACCATAAAACACCAGTTGACAAACTGGAAAAGTGAGCAGCTTTATTTGGTACAATCCTCTGTTGTTGCAGATCACATGTTGGGCTGCGTTGCTCCCGGTGCTGATCATAAATCTGAGCAGATCGCTGTGAGATGTGGAGGCTCTTCAACGTGCTCAGACAGCTTCGCTTGAAGCAATTAAGCAGCATCCGGCTCTGGTGTTCGCTTGTGTCTTTGATTAGCTACCACGGCACTCTAACTGCACAATGTGAGCATTTCTGGTTGAGTCTCATCTTCGTCCGTTTATATTTTGAGTTAATTTAATGCATTTTACTTCATTTTTTAAAAACTTATATTCTGATCATTCTGCTGCTTATTACTTTTGTTTTTGAACGTTGTTGTGTTTTCTTTTGCCCTTTAAAAGGACTCAAAACTGCTTAGTTGCCTCCACGACCTGTGCTTGACTTCAACTGCAGACAGTGTCGATAAGCAGGCAAAACAAGTCTTGTTCATCATTTAGCACATTTAGAAAAAAAGCCACTACATCAGAGTGTTTTCTAGTAAAATAATGATTAAGCTCGGCATTACAAATTAACCTAAAATGTTTAGATATTTGGGATTAAGATCCTATTGTGGCAAATAAGGTGCAAGCCTTCTGAGGAATTTCTATATTGGGAATTAAAACTCTGTAAACAATATATGAAATACGTCTTTAACAGAATTTTATTCATATTAAAGCTGCGATAATGTTATTTATTATGTACAATGTAATGTAGCTAGAACCTCCTAATCTAACTAATATAATAATTAAGGCTAAGATTTTACAGTATTAGTTATTTAGGAGATGATCCTGATAAAAAATACACATGAAAACCCAACAAATCCAAGGATTCCATGGATCCCTCTGAGCAACCTTTGTTTTCATCTTTAAGTGCCTAAAGCTACAGTAAATGAGTCTATCTTGAGAATACCTGCACACACCTGTCCCCTTCACCTCACACAGTATCTTTTACTTTGCATCTTTGTATTAAAAGACTGTAAAAGTGTCTTTGTACAGGTTTTGAGGTTTTGTACCGAAGGGATCAATAAAGTTTTATTCTAATTCTATTCTAATTCTAAAAGACTGTCAAAGTGTCTTTGTGTGCGTGCTCTCTTACCACTGACACTCCGTAGTGTATGTGTGCTAGTATGACAGCAGCCGTCCACACGTAAAGCAGCAGAATCTCGCTGGCGACAACACCGGTCACAGCTGACAACACAACCGCCGCCATGGGCAGCAGCAGCACGCTCAGCGCCTGGCAACGCGTGTTACTCATCTGACACACAATCAGCTTACACTGAAAGGCAAACACACGCACAACAACATGAATAAATATACGGAAACACACATCTGCAGGAATTGTGTTTTGTGAAGCTGTGGAAAGCAACATGAAATTAAATAAATCAAGCAGACACTCACCGTGACATTGGCGAAGGCTGTCCCCACCATGAGGTAGAACATCCTGGGCTGCTGCTCAAGGATGTTGGATGGAGAGAAAACCACCCAAATGGTGGATAAGATGAAGAGGAGGACGGGAGAAAGGAAAGGCAGGAAAGCTTCGTACAGGCTGCTGTGCTTCAGAGTGTTACTCCGGTGAGCCCTGTAAAAACCACAGAGGGTGAAGGGTTCAGCCCACTGAGCAAAACACAATGAACTAACCAAACAAAAGGCTAATTAGAACCGCACTTACTTCAGGACATTGTAGAGGCTCATGGGTAAGGTCACAGTGAAGGAACAAGCTGGAAATCAGCAAGCCTTGATTTTAGTTGCTGCTTTGGCAAAGAAATGAATATATTCAGAGTGACCGAACAGAGCTTACCTATGATCATAAATGTGAAGAGGTCTCTGTAGAGAAGACCCCACAGGAGTGGCTGGTACCAGGTTTCCACACCGACCGCAGCAGTGACCAAGTAAACCATGGAGATGGTCTGAGAGGAGACACAAGGCATCACGAGTCAGTATGTTAGAGTTGTAAGAAGCTGAGGTGAAGTTGTGTGTGAGGAACTGTAGCATGAGAACAAAATCACATTTAAACTTTAACATCAGCTGGAAACGTCTGTGTCTCCAGCTAACTAACTTGCTGGCTGCTGCAGTAACCTCGGCCCTGTTCACACCTAGATTTACAATGTGTCCAGTGACCATTTGTGGATCTCACTTTTTTTGCTCTTTTTGCAAAAAAACGTACACGTCATCTTGATTTGCAAAGACTTTTTTGTTTGTATGTGTGCCTAATCCGCTGCACGATTGAAAGCAGAAGTAAACACTGAGTGAACATTTCTTCATCGTGACCCAGGGCACATACACACCACTAAAACAATGAGGCCATATGCAGCCCAGACGAACATACAAATGTGGTGTCAACGATCAGATCTCGATGCATCTCTGCACTCCTGCACTTACAGCTGCCAACTTGTGATCAAATCACCTACAACATATGCTACTGCCAGTTGTGAGCAAGAAGTAATTCTACCGTTATGGAGTTCTTTGTAAAAGATTGATTTTTGACAGCAAATCAATGTGCACTACTTTCCCCACTGTGGAAGTCGGACCATGATGCTACATTGTCATGCTAATGTTAGATGAGCTGTTAGATTGCACTGTTTCCACACTGGTTAATCCTCATTCTAAAAGGTTTTGTTCTTGTAATGTGAAAAAAATGAGCCATACTTTTAAAATATGAACAATGAATCACAAGTCCAACATCTCTTCTGCTTAACCAAGTATGTCTACATTTATTTTTTTTTAAATACAAAAACTAAAAATGTTATCTTAATTGCTTATACTCACGCTAACTATCCTTACAATGCAATACAAGGACAATGGCATTTCTCTTAGCTTTACAGGAAATAGTTTTAAATCTTGTTTCTGTGGTAATTTGAGCAACTAGGAGTATGGCGGTACAGCTTAGTCCAAGTGGCCAAAAAGAAAGTTTCTGACGCTCCAGATAAAAAGGAAAGAGGAAGGATTACAGTCTAAATAAAAAAAGTGAACCATGTGTTTGTGTAATTATTTTCACTGCCAGATTGAGGACACAAAAATTCAGCACTGCAGGTTCAAAAAGTACCACGAACCTTGATGGTAATTCTAATCTAGTCACTATTAAACTGTGACATGGGAGAATGAGAGAAAGGTTCACAGGCATAGCAGCAGTGACCGAGGAGGGCGGGGCTTAGCAAGCAATCAGTCACCCGGCTGTATATATCAACGCACCTCGCATCATGTGTGTGTGACTGTGTGTGTCCTCACCACTTGGCTGATGTCGTATCCCCAGGGCAGGAACAAGATGCCAGTGTTGTACTTCTCCCAGTGAGACAGGATGAAGGAGAACAGCACCACCCACAGAATGTAGTACAGTGTGGCCACGCCCACGCCGCTCTCCCCGCGCCCAAATATGGAGTACACCGTGGCCACGAAGAAGATGCAGGCCCAGCTGTCCAGACCGTGGTCGAACAGCTCCCCTAGTGGTGTGGAGGAGTTGGTGCGGCGGGCCTGTTTACCATCGACACCATCTGCACAGAACAAAGGAAGACACGGCTCATTACATACGTTGCATGTTTACAGCAACATAAAACAAAAAAAACCCCAAAGATTTTCTTCTTTGACCATCTTTCCCATCTGACTCGGCTAAAGCTGCTGCCCACACTCACATAACTGTTCAAAGTGCAGCCACATTCCTACGTCCCACCACTGAGTTCACTGTTACAACAACTGATCTGGGCTATTCTCTTCTCCCTCCACACATGGAAGTATTCTGGAAGCACATCCTCATAACAAACACCACATAGCGAGATTTTATTGCTTTGCGAAAAGCACAATGGTTCATAGAGTACACATCTGCACACAAGTATGCAGAGAATGTCACATTACAATAAGTCTGCATTTTTGACTTTCGTTAAGATTCAACTGAACAACTGCCCCCAGAAAATATGAGGGGAATTTATACGAGTGACTCTGACCCCGGACAGATGAGCAGTCGTTAGTAATAAAAGAAAACATGCGGCTGCTATTCCACACAATAAAACAAGTTAAAGAAAAAAAAGAAGACATTCAGCGTTCCTGTGAGAGATGCACATTTTAAACTATGTCTTGTGTCAACAATCAGCCAGCAATTAAGCATTGAAATGAATGAAACTGACATTACTCCACCATTTTTAACAACCAACAACTGAATGCTTGCTGTAAAATCAGCTTGGTTACATTAGAGATTTGAAGAAGAGATAAAGTAAAGAACAGGTTGCTTGAATTATAAAATAATCAGCAAAAAGTAATGACTTAAATTCAAAAATTCAAAAAGTATTAAACACGTAATGTTATTTATGTCGGTTTGATATCCAAACAACCCTCATAGCTGATACATATGAAGGAGTGACTTGTTCACTGCATTCATCCAGCTACTGCAAACAGCTGCTCAGATGGAACAGATGTCCATAAATAACGTCGCAGTAACTTTATCAGGTTATTATGAAATCTGTCAGTATTTACTGCCACCTCTAAAATGTGTTTAAACTCAGAGCACATCAACACCGACACACTTCATCACTTCCATTTGAATATTGTTGGAAGAGTCCTGCTGCCCTGATTGAAGCTACAGCTGCTATCTGCTGAGAGACACTCTGCTCCCGGCCTGTTAGCGTTTAAATATCGTAGCTTAGCATTAACGTGAGCCTCAGATAGCTGTGCACCCTTTTTACAACTTGAAGAGTTTATCAATACGACTGACACAGTAAGCAGTTAGACAGCAAGGAGGTGCACTTGTTTTATGGACCCTTATGGGCGGTTAGAAAACACACCTGTAACTCCGTCTGATCAAACAGTAAAAGGCTCCACCCGGCTTCATTAGTGATACGTTGAAGCGACAGCCACCATACGTTCTCCTACATGCTTGTGAAGGGAGAGTCGGCTGCAGTCTGTAGCCTCACCGCTAAACTCTCCTGAACTCTACACATACTTTGTGTTATCAACATTTTGAACACGTGTCCATACATTCACGCCTAATGCTACGCCTCGCTATGTAAACGATGCCCTGGCAAACTGACTTATCCTGCTGGACGGAGTACTGAGGGCGTGACAGTCGCATAACTATAATGCATAGTGCACATTCCTTTAAACTCCTCTGATGACCACACCAAACACTAAACATCTAACTCTATACTAACTGTACAGTCATCGTGTGGACAGAGAGCCAACTGACTGTGTCGTAGGACGCTACAGTGTGAATGCTTTGCTGTGATCAGATTCCACATGTGCAGATGAAAGTGAAGCAGTAGCTCTTAAATGAAGGCTGCAGGTATCTAGTTAATTTCCCCACCCTCATTTATCAGTCTGCGTCTCCCACTTTGTTTCCTGTGAGACACAAACTGAATGTTTTCTGAAACCTTTGCAGCAACACTATTTTTTTTGTTTGTTTGTTTAAATACCACACTGCCTACCTTTTATTTCAAACAGGGCTTCTGAGATTGATAATGTAGTGTAATCATATCCGTTTTGGTGAAAGAGATATTTTGCCTCCTTCATTTAAATAGTAAATAGGAACCCCATCACATTACAATCATTTGGCCGACACTTTCGTCCAGAAGCACAATAACATTCTTAAACTCACATACTGGCAAATGGTTTTACACAAAGGAAATCGTGAGAAACTCGCCCCAGGACGCTTTAGCACATGGATGGGACAGGGATCAAACTGCCAACATTGCAATTTGTAGACAAATATCATCTAAAGCTGGGTGTGTAACCTCAAAAAACTATTACGGCACCTGTTGAAATTGTGCCTGTTGCAGCTTGCAGCATTAATGAGTGATGGAAATCATTTGTCACAGGAGGTTTAGGGTGTGCCAACAGCTGGTTTAGGTTGCCAACATTTAGCTACAGTAATTCAATGGGACAAAATTCCAGCTATACAGTATCGAGATTGACATTTTAAGCAGCATCTACTTTGCACAGTGTCACACTATGATAAACATAAAATGACCAAAGTGGGTCTGAGGAGCAGAGCTGCTGCTAACCCAGCCAGACATCGCTAAATAATGAAAAGGAAATTTGACTTTTATTAGTCTCCTGCTTTGACATAACCGCTCTGGTGATAAAACAAGACGGCAGGAAAGCTGATAGTTAAAGATAACACGACTTTACATCAGGGGATACTAAGAGTGCAGAGAGTCAGAGTTAAGAATGAGTTGCAGTCACTGACGACGGCCTGGTAAAGTGCAACGGGGAAGAACTTCCAGTCAAAATGTGAGCACAAATCATCTGAGCGACTTCAAACTCAACACGGGGGATGGCTATTAGAGGAGTAAAGCAAAAAGAACCAACATGTACAACCATGGTTTGCTATCCTCGTTATTCAATGAAAAAAATGCATTAACTTTCCCCGTATCCTAAACTTTACCATAAAAAGACAAACAGAGTCTCCTTCCTTTAGAGTTAGAGAAGTAAAAGTTATGTTCAGTGCACAGAGACATGTTGGTCACATTTTACGAGATTAGACGCAGCAGATTATCTGAGGAAAAAATGACTCAACGCAATTAAATATATCTGTACCTCCGGGATGTTGTGCATCGTATTAGAGACAGATTAGCACATCTTCATCTAATTGTGGCTATGAATAATCTGATAGTGTTGTGTTTGCACTTCAAGACGCCCTGCAGACACGTCCAAAGAGGACTGACTTCTAAACAAAGTGCGACGTCATGAATCAGTCTCGGTTGCACTCGGTTTGAACTCTGATTCAACAAGATGACTTTCAGCAGAAAAAAAAATGGTAAACAGACTTCTCTTGTCTGAAAGTGAGCACATTTTGTACAGAGAACATCCACAAGAAGTAGCAATGATCGTAATGCATTTAGGTTGCTGAATCTTAAATCATTATAGGCCTTCAACTTGACCTTGAACTTGAAATTTGAGGCAATGTTTAGATGACAATATCTCAGAAACTAAATAAATAAAACTATGACATGGAACTACATATGAAACAGAAAATACTACTTTTTTGTAATCACTCACAATCAGAGACTATTCAATCTACTTGTCCAATATTGCAGAGTATAATTCAATGACAAGACGAGAACTAACAGTGACGGTTTCAGGCTTTTATCTTTAAAAGTTCCTGAGATTTTGTCATCCAAACATAGCCTCAAATTTTAGTGTTAAAAAAACCCAAAGTGGGCTGACAGGAAATAAAAACAAAATAAATCACAAAGTACTTGAGATATCAAACTAAAATTTCACACACATCTTTAAAAATATCCACATTTTATGCTAGAAATGTTTCAGACAAATCAGACATGGCTGAGCAGATAGTCAGATGAATGACCCATTTTTGAGCGGAGGTCGACTTTAACTTTCCCCCCCTGAGCCTCTCGGAAAGTCAGAGAGAAAAAAAAAGAAATAAAGACAGCGGGGTCGCCGAAGAACTCACCAAGTGTATAGGCTAAGAAGTTGAAGATCCCTGCAGCAACCCAGACCCAACTAGGCACATGTTCATGTCCTGCAGCTGAGACACAAGCAACATAAATATACAGCACATCACACTGAGACCGTGAACAAGTGAAAGCCGCACATTAGCACACCGACTCTTCTGACTCAACCGAAAGACTAAAAAGGAATGTCTGAACAACTCACAGCAACAATACTATACCTGAACCATTACTCATGTGTGTTTATTTTGGTTTTATGGTTCTCTATTGACAGAAAATACGCTTGTGAGGTCAGTTTATGGCCTTTGTAAAGGCTGCAGAGGTTAGAGTCAGAGTGGTGTCTGCTTGTGTGCTTATTTTATCTACAACAGACATCATAGAACATAGCATCTCAGCAGAGTTGTGTCTAAATGTTTGTGTCGAGACACAGTTTACCAGCTTATTCTGTGCTGCTGTGTGTGTGTGTGTGAAGGATGTAATCGATTAGAGATTACCCCGAGCAACCAACAGCCAGTTTCTGCAAGTGATGGACTTTGTCTTTCATAAACAAACTTCTCTTCCCCCCCTCCTCTAGACAGTTGCGGTCAATGCAACCAGCTCATAGTGACGATTTATTACAAAATTAACTGAACAACACTCCCTCGTGCAGATTGCGAAATACCTACCAGAGGCAGTAAAGTCAAAGTCGTAGAAGGCCAACATGAGGAAGTTCAACACAAGGAACATAAAACCTGTAAATGTAATGAGGTTTGGAGCCAACCACGTCGGTAGAAACTGTGGGGAGAGAGAGAGAGAGAGAGAACAAACAGTCAATAAAAATTTATTAACATGCTTATTTGCTTTTACATGGCGTCTTCTCATCATAGAAATGATGGACTAAAAAACTGCATGAGTTATTGCAGTTACAGTGGTGCTTGAAAGTTTATGAACTCTTTAGAATTTTCAATATTTCTGCCTAGATATAACAAAAAAAGTCATCAGATTTTAACATGAATCCTAAATGTCAACAAAGAGAACCCATTTTAAACAAAAAATGACAAAATATGACCCCTACGTATTTATTCATTAAGGAAAAGTAACCAATATGACATATCTGCAGGTGGTAAAAGTATGTAAACCTCTAGGATGAGCAGTTAATTTGATAGTAATATCAGAGTCAAGTGTTGTTTATCCAGGAGATAATCAGGTCTGTGTGGGTGCCCTGTTTTATTTAAAGAACAGGGATCTGTCAAAGTCTGATAAAAGGGCATCACGACACAAAGTAGATTTCTGATGACCTCAGAGAAAAGATTAAATGATGCTCATCAGGCTGGTAAAGGGTTATCAATCAACACTCACAGTCAGAGCGACTGTACAAACGGAGGATATTCAAGTTGGTGGTTAGCCTCTCCAGGATGGTTGAGCATGGCAGACCAACCAAGAGTTCACTGAAGATCACTTATACAAGACCAAAGTAGAACATTTTGGTTTAAATGAGAGGAATATTTACAAAGTCTTTGGAATTGAGGACTCTTTAGAAAAAGAAAAACGCTGCATTTGACGATAAAACACGGTGGTGGCAGCATCATGGTTTGGGCCTATTTTGCTTCATCTTAACCAGAGCAGCTTGCCATCAGTAATGGAACAATAAATTCAGAATTATATCTGCAAATTATAAACAAAACTATCAGATTGTCTGTCTCTGAACTGAATTTCAAGAGAAACAACCCTAAGCACACAAGGTGCTGCTTAAAGAAGAGCAAAATTAATTTTTGGGAATGGCTAGGTCAAAGTCATCGCCTTAGGTAAATAAAAATGTTGCGGAAGGACCTGAGGTGAGGTCAGGTCAATTGACGAAACCCACCAACATCAAAGCGTTGAAGCTGCTCTGTAGGAGGAACGAGTTCAAATCCATCCACGTTGAAATTCATGAGCGATCAACAATTATCACAAATGCTTCGCTGCAGGTCTTGCTGCACAAACACTTTTGCAAATACTCGATCTTTCTGTGCAACACATAAACGATCAGGTAAAGCATGTTCATCATCTTTGTTTAATTGGTTTCGCTTTATCTACTTTTAGGACTTTAACTGTTAGGTAGAGAGGATGTAAATGACAAAAAAATGAACATCAGGTCACTGTGAGGGAGGAGCTAACGCAAAAAAAATAAAGACCTGATACAGATAAGGAGATAAATATATCAGCGCCTCTCACGTCAGAAACAAACAGTCCGTGCAATTTATCAGAGACATGACTGCATCCGAAACAACAACATCGCTTCAAAGTCCACAACAGACTGTTTGCAATCAGAGACGGATGTGTCGTGGCAGCGACAGGGAAAGGGCTGGTGTTAAGTGTGTCAGCCTGTCTCACTGCTGTATCACAGCAGACGGCTGGAAACCTCATTAATGATGCAGAGCAGACACACAGCGCCGAGCAGGTCTTCCTCACCTTTACCACGAAGTTCCAGAAAGGATGCATGACGTAGACAGACAGGGGATTCGAGTCCACTGCGCTGTACTGCAAAAACACACAGAAGTGGACACGTTAGGGTTTGATTGTTACACAAAAACACTTCATTTGTTTGATTAATTTCATCTCACTTTACGAAGGCCCTTCAGCCTCACAGTTAACATGGATAATTAAAGTTGCTTGTCTTTACTAGAAGTGTAACGATAAATTGATTAAATGTTAACAAATAAATTATTCAACAACTATTTTGTTAATCATTTAAACAGTCTGAGTAATTTTTTAAGATGAAAAAAAGTCTAAATTCTCTGATTCCAACATCTTAACTTTGAATATTTTCTGATTTCTTTCCTCTTCTATGAAAGTAAATTGAATATTTTTAGGTTGTGGACAAAACAAGACGTTTGTCACCTTGGGTTTTGGAAGGAAAAAAAACCAAAATCATCAACAACAGCTGATCGATTAGTTGTGAAAATAATCGACAGACTAATCAACGCTGAAAACAATTGTTACTTGCAGCCGTAGATCAAAACAAACCTGATTCCAGTGTCTGTAACTTTATCCATGGATGACGAGTGTGTGTGTCTGATGCAGTGTAATGTACCTTCTCTGGTGTTCATACAATTTAAGCAGCGTGTCAGGCCTTATTGTTAGAAGTAATGCTGCCTCTGGGATGACAATATTTCTGCAGAGCTGTTGCCTCTCATTCTCACTCCTACTTTGCGTGGAAGATACCCAGAATCTTAATTTTCAGGTGATTACAGAAGGATTATCAATTGATTTTTAACAGCACCATTCTCACAACAGCAGTAAGCTCTGCGGAGTTCAAATTAACACACTTTCTGTAGCAGCTAATGCTACAATCAGCCAGCCAGGCAACGACACAGATTAATGCCAGAACACTGTGTGTGCTGGGGCTGCATAGCTAATTACGGGATCCATTGTGAATGATTCAATTTCCAAAATAAACAATCACACATTACTGGCAAATTCACAACACTTAAATACTTCATTGTGTACAATGGGTCTCGTGATATTGTGTAACAACAAAAAAAAGTGTGTTCCTTAATAAACAAGTTACACCGATGTGATTAATCATGATCACGGCTGCAAAAACAGTCGCCGTAACCGTAATTTACAGCTTTATCTTGACCAGCACGTACACGCATTGACCCAAGCTACTTTCAAAAGTGTGACCAAGGATGCGAGAAGCAGAAAGACGGCATGAAAAACCAGAGCGAGCCCATGAGAATGGCGATCTTCGCGCTGTCACGTGCTTCCCGCTCGCGAGCACATTCGTTCCCCCCTTTAAAGAAAATAAGCTCTGTGTCAAAGAGCGTCACAATCCTTTCATTCACTGTCATCTGTCATCCTTCGCCGTCCTGTGGCCACTTGAGGCACAGTAGCCAATACGCAGAGAGGAAGCCACTTAAAAAGCAATTATTGGAAAAGGTCTCCCATGATTAACAGCTCAGAGAAGTCGTCTCATGCAGTAATAAAAGCAGGAGGTATTAGAAAGAGAGCCTGAAGGGCTCGAGTGCCTTAAGGACAAAGAATGCGACAAAGACTGGAAACAAAAATAAATAAATATTGGCAGAATTGTAATTGTTGGTGCAAAACATGTAGATTTAACTAAACTGGGATTTTAAACGTCTTGTTTCAGAATACTGTGCACACTGGACATCAGGTTGCCTTTGAATGAGAAACATCGCTGGACGTTCACCTTTTCAGACACACTGCAACCTTTCCTGTCCAAGGAAGACAATGAAAGACATATTTATGCTAGAATTTCTAACAGACATGACGATTGTAATGCTCTGTTCTGTGGCCTCTCGAAGAAATCTTTAAACAAACTTGAGATGTTCTAAAATGCAGCGTCTTCTTACGTAGAGAACACCTTACTCTAGTGTAAAGATTTTAGTTTTGAAATGACTATCCCTGAAATGACTATTTTTCTGATTTGCTGGTTAGGTGTTCCCCTTGTAGACCACTAACATCCTAAATCTGGTCTCTCTAGAGTAAAATAAAGATTTATGGAGCAGCTGCCCTCTGTGCTGTCGGCCCTCGCCTCTGGAATAGCTTCTTGATGATGTCAGAACATCTGATGTAGTTGATCGCGCCAAACTAAACTTTAAAATATATCTTTTTAGGCCTGCTTCTATGTTATTTTTATTCATTTTAATACATTTTACAGGGACTAGACTTAATTTTTTACTTTTATTATAGACTGTTGTATTTAACTGTATTTTTATTATCTCAATCGTTATTGCTATTGTTTTTATATTTTTAATTTTATTCTCATTTTATTGCTGTAAAGCACTGAGTTGCTCTGTGCTATTCAAAGTTATGGTTAATTTCTGTAAACTTCAAAGACACATTATCATACTGATATATCAAAACATGAACAGGGCCAGGTCAAATTCTGCCCTCTTATCCAAACTCAATAGAGATAATTAAGATAACTATCAGTGCCTTTTAGTCCCCATGAACTCCTCGTATCTATGCTGCAACACTGATGCTCATGTTTATGGGCATCAACTGAACACACCCTGTCACCTACTTCTGTCTCACAGCTCTGCATCTGCTGTCTTTCTTTCTGTGGTTGTGAATAATAAACATTAACAGGAGTGGCGTCCATACAAAAAAACAGGAGCAAGACAAGAGAACTCTGAAACGTGTAAAAACAGCAGATAAAGAAGCCTGATTTCAAACACTGGCAGAGAAAGAGAGGCTTAGCTATTAGCTCATTTACGCCAATGTAAAGCCAGACATGGTGACAGCAGCTCTGCCAGCCACAACTTTCAAAACAAAATGTACAATGGTGAGTGGAACAATTTAGATTTGAAGAATTGTATTCACCACATATGTTGCTGATACGCTGGGGCAGGAAGCTGGCAGCATCATTGTGTGACACCAGAGTTCAAACTGCTGAAGTGCTATTGAGCAAGACACAAACTCTTCCCATCTCCAAGGGTGTGGTTTTATCTGAGGACCCAAAACTTCAGTGCTATCCAGTCAAGAGTTGCAGTGATTTATTGAGTAAATAACTAGTTGTCAGCTGAAGAATTAATCGCCACATGTTTGGAAAATCAATTTGAAGCAAAATTAGTTTTATTGCCAAGTAGGTTTATGACACAGTAGGAATGGGATTTAATGGTAAATGTAAGTAAAAAATGTAAAAAGGATAAAAGATGGAGAAAAAAAATGTGTTGCAAGTCAAATAAAAAGCAAGCATATCAAATTAAAGCTGTCATAAACATGCCTACTAATTATTTAGGTGAATCTGCTGTCCATATTGAGCAGGGATATGCAAATAATTGTCTAGGATTTTTGAGTAATTATTTTCATTTCTAATTTATTTGATTCCAGCTTGTTCTTTTTATTATTTTCTATTTCTTTTACTCTTCTCTGACACTAACCTGAATATTCTCACGTTGTGAACAAAACAAGATTTTTGTCATTCTGAGCTTTGAACAAACCTGGTCGACAATTTTGATCATTTTTTACAAACAAAGCAACTAATCGATATCATAATCGACATAAATATGATCGTTAGTTGCAGCATCAATGCAATAATTAGTGGTGACAACTCCACAAAGAACATTAAGGTGGTGAGCAGCAGACATGATGCCATTTACATGAACCTCAGCAGATTAAACTACACTTGTGGCTCACTACTTTTACTTTTAAAAGGAAATTGGCCGGCATCCAGTGTGACAGCAGCTAACTCTGGCTACCTTCACACATTTTTCTGCTCGGGAAGCACCCTGCAGATCGTGACAGCTAGCTGCTAAACACACAGCTCAGTGGCTAGCCGCTAGCATGCTAATACAGCCCAGTCTTCATACCTTATATTTGTCGAAGCCCGCAAGCTGCTCCTGAGTGACATATTCGTAAAGAGCCATGGCGGCACAGTCTGGCTCAACGGTGAGATAAATAAATATCTCCTCTTGAAGGAAACGCAAATCCCCAACGTTAGCTGCCGAGTCGAAGTACCATCTAGCTTTAGCCGCCGTCGTTCACGCCGGCTGAGGTGATGTCGAACCACCGGAGCCACTCCTACTACGGAGCCCCGAGCTGACGTTAGCCGCGGCTCACTAGCGCCCCTTCAGGCCTGGAGGACAGAGGCGGAAAAACGACCAAAAAACATAATTAAATCCTGTCAACCTGGCCTAAATTAAACGATATTAATTAGTTATAGTTTCACGCGAGAAAATAAACAAGATATTGTTTTTTAAGCTTTTATTTTTGTTAACTGACCACTGGTATCTGATCTATTATATCTATTTCTACGTCGCTTTATCGTGACGTGTCTTTCCTGTTCAGCCGGTAGACACACCGACCTGCCTGTCTGTAGCTGAGCAGCTGGAATATCGCTCGAACCGAGGTTAAAAACCCAACTTAAAGGAAATGTAAGTACTTACATTGGCTGAAATATATCTCATTTACACATTTTTTGTTATGTTTGGTGAAAGTCATATGCAGCTTTTCTTATGTTGCTCAGTTTAAACAGCACTAGTTTGCTAGCTAGCTAGCTGGGTTAGCATTACACAGATTGATGATGCGTTCACAAAATTTGCAAAAAATACAATAATTTGGCAGGTTGATTTACAGAAATGTCACCACTAATGATTATTACTGACACTCTGTCGATTTATGCACTTGCTACCTGAAATGTGTCGACAATAAGAGGTTAGAAAGTGAATTTTGTCTCTGTGCCAAGTGCAAGCTAACGTATTTGCAATGCAAATTCTGCATAATTTTGCTGCTCGTTCAGTACATTAAAAATTAGCAAAGGTCTGCAAACTCAAACACTAACAACATCAATCCAACTAAACAACAAAGATATATTACACATTCTGTTAGCAATGACTTATTTCACGTCATGCAATTTAAAAAAATAAATAAATAAAATAAAATTAAGGACAAGAAACACAAATATAAGATTGATATCCTCTCAACATGCTTGGCCAGGTCACAGTTTTCCTTGTTCTTTAGAAGCTTGTGTGGTTTTTGTGGTGTGATTTTGATTGTTGTAATGCTGGAATATTCCTCCTCTGTCAAGCTTTTGCAGACTGGGAGTCTTTTTGTCAGCTTGTGTGTTAAATCCACAGACATCCATGGTGACATCTATAAATGTCATCTCTCCAACACCTTTTGCATCACGCAGTTCCCACCTCTATGCTTCCCTGTCAGGACTATACATCCCTGTACAAACATGCTGTATTCTTTGTTAGATTAACTCCAGACATGCTGGACCCTTTTTGAGCCGAACAAAATTATCTTGATCTCACCTGATGAAAGACTGTATTACAAGTATTCATCAGTCTTCTTTTTATTGTCCTTAGCAAGGTTTAATTGTGCAGTTTTGTACCGAAGAGCAAGTGAGGGTTTAAGCAGCGTCCATCTCACCCTCTGAGCTGTCACAGAAACTCTGACTTCATTTGATAACCCCTGTGCCCAGTCTGAAACACTTGCCTGTAGTGCCTGATGAACTTGACTTTATAGTAAATTAACCAAAACTTGCACTTAGATTGCGTCTCTTTCTCCTTTGCAGCATGGTGACAGACGTGCAGCTGGCCATATTTGCCAACATGCTTGGCGTGTCCTTGTTCCTGCTGGTTGTGTTATATCACTACGTTGCCGTCAATAACCCCAAGAAGCAGGAGTAGAGTCCCCCAGTATGACTGGAGAGGTGAGTGTCCTGATAGCCTGTGTCACCAATTTGAAATGTTTGTTTTTTTTCCATATATTTAGTAGTTACTACTGTCAGTCATGCTCCTTTGTGATCTCACACAAATCAAGGCTATAGCTGTTATATTATAATATGTATACTATACTTAAATGTTCAGTGAGTTCTCATCTACAAACAGGACTTTTCTTTCCGAGGTTTAACACCTGTGAACCCACTTAAGAGTAGGTTGATTATTTTCTGAATTAGTCCATTAGTTTTGGGCTATAAAATGTCAAAAAACTGTGCGAGATGTTTATAAGTCTTTCCCAAGATGACATCCTTAAATGTCTTGTTTTGTTCACTACCCAAAGACGTTCAACTTACTGTCACAGAGGACAGAAAATATTCAAGTTTAAGAAGCTGGAATCAGGATTTTTTTTCATACATGTTTTCTCAAACCGAGTAATCGATAGTCAGAATAGTTAGTGATTAATTTAATAATTGACAACTGATCAATTATTAATTGGAGATTAACTAGTGTCTGTTTTTTCTTCCTTACAGGTGAGATGGGAGTCAAAACCGCCACCATGGAAACAACATTCCCCTCATCCAACCCTCTTTCCAAAAAATTGATTTCTATGTTTGCACAGTCGTGTTTTTTTTCTAATAAAAATGTTTAAATTCCATTTGCACTAATGTCTCAGTAAATTCCTTCAGATGTTCTAAACGCAAACACACACTCGCTCAACTGTAACTTTAAAATACAGAGTTTATTTCAAGTTACTCACAGTTCCATGTTTAACGCATACTAACGTAGTATCCTATCAGTCACAATCTAATTAATTTGGTAAAAAACACCAAATACATGAAACGCTATAGGAATATAAATGTGGAGATATAATAAAGGACTTCATTGGTGTACAGTGGAACAAAAAGCTTTTACAGGACTGTGACAGGAAAAGCATATTCAATAGAAATGGAGTGCCTACAAAGTGATTCACCCACTGTGGACTTTTTCATGTTTTAAATCACAGGTAATGTGACTGGACTTTCTACAGTCAAACCAAAGTACAGTAATCTCTTAAAGGCAACTTTGGTCACAATTACAACCATTAGTCAGTTTAATAAGTCTGTGTCAACCTTGGACTTGAGTTTAAGCCACATGTAACAGACTTTTTAGAGGTATAAATGGAAAACTAAGTCACAGCACTGTCATCTGCTGCAGCAGCTTCTTCCTCCAGCACCTCACTGAGTGTATTTTGCTGCATTAATTTGACCTTCTACTTCCAGAAACATATGTAGTATAATGCACCAGCTTCATGGGATTTAGTGTTCTTGTGTGGGCAATTTTTTGCAGGGCTACGAGCAAATCTTATAGGTATGTCTTTTTTTTTTTTTTTTTTTTAAATCTCCATTACTATTAAGCTTCCCACATATATTTATATGTCTGGACATTTCCAATAGCTTATGTTTACTGACAATCCAGATGCAATTTATCTTAAAATCCACTGGCTCAAGCAAAGCATATCTCAGGGACTTTAAAGAGCAGCTCACAGCAGTCACAATTTAGGTCTCTTAAAATAAAGAAATTAAATACTTAAAATTACTGGTTTTTTATTAGCACTCACTAAGATTTTTCAATCAGTGTCACTAAACAATCGGAAAAAGTCCAGAGGGGTAAAAACCGTTTTATAAACACTACATGAACAGCACACACACACGCACACACACACAAAAAGCAGAATAATTACCTCACTTAACTCACGTTTGTTTCTACAGTCACGTTGGATATAGTGAGTTAACAAAAGGTGCCGTCGTGCTCATCAGTTAGAATAAAAATCAGCCCTTTGCTGTAATAGTGCAAGTGGCTGACTGAGGATATGTACCAGTGCAGAACAGTATTGGTCAGAGTGCAGGTAATATGTTTATGAGGGAGGGGGCAGCAGGAGGATGACACAACCCCTAACCCTAAAGACACAAATGTCTATGCGTTCTTGATCAGCGGGAAAACTGCAGTTTGGAAAGTTTGTCCCCTGCCCCTCTTGTAGTGTCATGGAGCAAGGCACTTATCCCTCAGCTGCTCCAGTTAAAACAAAAAGTTGCTCAGTGGTTGCACTGGGCAGCTCCTGGGTGAAAAGAACGTGCTTGCTCAAGAAACTGAATACATAAAGATCAAATGGGTGGTATTGCACATTATCACACTTCAAATAATCCTCCTGTGATGCCCCCTCCTGCTTTGAAGCTTTGTGACTTCAGTAGAGGAACTTAGGCTCACTGTGGGCCGGCTGTGGCTCAGGTGGTAGAGCGGGTTGGTGGTTCGATCCCCCAGCCCCTCGAAAGTGTCCTTGGGCAAGACACTGAACCTGAAGTTGCTCCCAGTGGCAGGCAGCACCTTGCATGGCAGCTCTGTCACCATTAATGTGTGTGTGAATGGGTGAATGAGTAACATATATAAGTGCAGACCATCTATGGAACAAAAACAGACGAATGCGCAAGCTCCTGCGTGCAGTTCCTAGGCTTCTCCACACAGCGTCACTGTCTCGCACATGTTCACAGCTTCAGGCGCCGGCATCACTGGAGTTTCCTCAACCTTCAAAGACAACAGTTAAGCAGCCCGGTCAGGTCATCTGACTCATTCACGTGCAGCGGTCATTTAATATGCAGTACTTGACACTAGTGTGTTTTCACCTGTTGCAGTTCTCCATCCGTCTCCGGTGCACTTTCTATGATGGTGTTTGCTTGGTAGTGGAAACTCCTGTCAGTGCTCTTCTTTATTAGCGCTTTAGAGGCCAGATGTAGGGCACCTTCTTTCTCCGACACACCTGAATAATGGATAAAACACTGATGTTAGCTGTTCATATGTGAGGCGGTACTTTTGTTCAAGTGTTGTACTTAAATACAGTCTTGAGGTACTTGTACTTTGCTTGCGTATTTCCATTTCATGCTACTTCATATTTCCATTCCACGACATTTCAGCGGGAAATATTCAACTTTCTGCTCCTCTATCTTCAGATATTACATAATGTATACGACAACAAACTTTTAAAATACAACACACTATTAAAGATTAAGCCTGTTTTTTTTCTGAGTAGCTCCATCAACTAGTGATTTTTACCTCCAACCTTCTCACATGGTTTACTTTTACTAAATGTTAAATGAAATGAAAAATACTTTATTTATCCCAGAAGGGAAATTCAATAAAGTATAAATTATATTATATAAATAAATTAAAGTGATCCAATACATCACCAAATACCAAAGACTAGAGAAAAATCCAACTGAAAACAGATTTGTGGCTCCCATTAATCATGTTTGCAGCCCTCAGATTTATCTGCTGTCCCTGTATATAAACTAGATCAAACTAGCGCCACCTTTTAGCTGCTAATAATTATGCACGTTTGCTTAAATAGGATTTTTCATGCCAGACTTTTATTTGTAAAGGAGTATTTTTACACTGTTCTATAAGTACTTCTTCCTGAATAAAGGACACCAGCACTGTAGTCATATGTACAAATAAATACATTCATTAATGATCGTCCTTCCACATAACTTCTCCTGTTTTGACAGATGCAGTCAGGTAATCTCTCCAGCGTAGCTAATACTCCTGTTTCATGTGGCTGTACATGCCTGATAGTGACAGGTGTCTGTGGAGACCAGGCCTGAGCAGCTTCCACACCTTCATGGTGGCTGACACCTCCTTATCCCCAGGTGAAGTTGGGTTATTGCTAGTGGGAGATGTTTTAGTGCTGCTTGCAGTCGGGGCGTCAGTAGATCCCACCCTGCGGATGGGGATGCGGCTCATGTGAGGCTGCAGCTCACACCTGGACGAGTAACAGAGAGGTCAATATCTTCACCACTCATGGAAAAACATCTTAGAAGGCTAATGTCCACTATTTGGTCATTCCATCTAAAATCATTAAAATTTCTAAATGACCATCTCTGATTTACCTGAAATTTTTATAGCATAAAATATCGATAGTTCTAAAGATATTAGTGAAGTTTTAGCTTCATATATCAAATAGTTAAAGATAAAAAATTACCATTAAATATATGTCAAGGCATGTAAATTCTACATGTTACGGCATGAAAATTGGCCTCTAGAAAAATCCCACTATCCTAACAGATCTATGCATTTGGTCATAGTTAGATGATGTAATTCTAATAACCTAACACAGTTGTAATTACCAAAGAAATTACACAAATCTACATGACAAGTCTCCTCCAAACCAAGGTTTATGTCTACAAAGTGGCATCCAAAAATGAAAAACATGCCCATATTAAAAAAATAAAATAAATAAAAATAGTTAAACTATATCTGAACTACACGGATTAGGCTATCTACCAATATTTTTGTTTTGAAATAATGAAAACAACTTTTTGTGAAATGATGAGTTTTAAATAACGGGTGTTTATAGCTAGTCTGTTCTTCCTGTATACCAAAATAATAGATTAATCCTGGAAAAGTGTTGATTTAACGCTTTTCTCCTAATGAAAGTAACACCACCACCACATCAGCTAACCAGCTGACCTGCAGACTGCAGCCTCTGTTCCATTTTCAAATGCCACCTCTTGTTTTGACTTCGTCTTTAAAAATGTACCAGCACACATGAAAACATTAGACTTACTTGCTAAATTTGATGGAGGAAAGGATGTGTTCAGGCCCCAAGTCTTTAGCAGTCTATGACAGATGAAGAGATGACATCATGCACCAAATGTTTATTGCATGTGTGTTTATATTGTAGAAAAACCGCTAATACATAAAAAATGAGAAGAATTTGTCTGTCAGTGAGCCAGCAAGGCAGGCTAACCTCTCTACGGCCCTCTGCGGGGAGATGAGTTCGGCTTCCTCGCTCTACACGGCCGGTACGCGTGGGGAAAGGCATTCTGGACCAGCCGGCCGAACCTGGCCCACCAGCTTTAAAGTCTGGGCAGCTGACGCCTATCAACCAGATGAAGGGACATAAATACAGGCAATGGAGAGAGAAAAGAAGAAACTGCAGGTGGAGCATTAGGAAACAAATTTCTAAAACTCCCAATTTCAACCCAGACATGTGATTATAAGAGGAAATGGAAGGACAGAGCTGAACATGGTTGGATAATTTCATGTTCTCTTTGTCTACATCAGTTGGTAAACTAACTTTTAATCAGTCTAACCGCTGGTAGCTTCAATCTGTGTCTCTACTTGAAGGCAGAAAAATGAAACACACACAGAGTCAAAAGAGAGCAGAGGACCCACACACAGTACTTGCTTCACAAAGGGATAGTTTTTATTCCAGAGGTTAAACAGAAAGGCGGTAAAAGACAGCAGCACATTCAAGAAAGGTGATATTCGTAAAGACGTTACAGGGACAAACACAGAACCGTAGTCTGGTATAGAAGGTTAGCACCACATTGAAGGAAACGGCACGATTCTCATAAGGAGTGTAAAGCAGAAGGACCTAGTGAGAATGTGACTATGCATACAGTGTTTCCACCGAAAGCTGCTTTCTGTCGTTTTGGATGGAGACGTTTAAGCTTTAGGGTTGAAACCGCTGGGACACAGGACATCAAAGTTCACAGTGAGAAAGCAGAATTAAAACTACAGTACACGCTCCCCGTTTTGCAGGGCGCTGATCTTAAATTGAGAGCTCATGATACATCCTTCGCATGGTGCTGAACGCAGTGGGCATCGGCTACATGAAAATCATCATTGTAGTGATCTTAAAGGAACATTTTGAAAGACGTCCAAGTCCTGTGAGCACAAAAAAGACTGTCAAATTTGATTTCTGTTCAAACTTGGAGGGATCTGTGGATCGAAAAGCGGCCAATGTTGTTCCACAATGGGCTGTAGTGGTATATGCTGACGCTCCAGTGGTACCAATATGTACATTTTATGCCAGTGATCTTATGCTCATGAACTAACATCATGACAAGCATTGTTGTTGTGAACGTATACTCTTATTTCTACCATTATTGACAGTTTAGTGCAAGAGAATGCACTTTAAACACATAAACCTGTAAGTATTACTCTCCTTTCTGTTGCAGCAGGTGCTTATACTTAACATAGCGATGGTTAGCCTAGCCACCTAGCTCGACTGTTCATCAATAACAAATTGAGGACGTACTATTCTAACTAAATGGTTGCGCATGTATTTGGATTTATTTTAGATACATTCGATCATAAATCAAAAAATGTACATTTTATTTATTATCAGGAATGTTTTTACTGATGTTGTCTATTTCTCACCAGTATATACCACTGTAGCTCCATCTGCAGACCCTGATATGTGCTATTTTTCTATTATGGTACTATTGCTAATGCTAGCTCAAATATACACACCTGCTGCACTGACAGGCCTATATAAAACTGCTCTACAATCAGATGTTTCAAAAGTGTGCAGATGACCAGAATCATTTCAATGCTTCCTTATTTTAAGCATATTTTCTTGTGCATTTCTAATAAAGGTAGAAATAAAAATGTACTTGCCATGAAGTCAGTTCATTGACATAAAGGTCATTGACATCAAATTATGTATTAGGCAGCACTCATCCTACAGTTTGGACAGCGGCCATCCAATATCAAGTGGCTCCTGCAGCTGGAAAACGGTCTGTGTCAATGAAATACAAATAAAAAAGTAGCATACGAGAACAACAGTGTACCACTATAGACTGCGCATATACCACTACACCTGAAGTGGCATACCATCAGCACAGCTAATTTGTGAGATTTTTCTTTTGCCAGAAGGTCAACAAGTCTTAAATATACCGCTTTTAATTCATGTTCCTGCGCTATTTGTGGTTAAGTATTTTCATTACTGAGTTATAATCCTGTACACTCAAAAATCTATAAATTTAGTGACTTTTCTCCTCTCTTTTTAACGCAACCTGCAAGGGCAAGTTTCTCCAGATCCAAGACAGGTGAGGAGGCGCAATGGATGCCCTACGAGATCACAATATGAGCAGAGCCTTCAAAACCTACTGTTTACTACAAAGCAAGGCACACCATAACTACAGTTTGTCACAGCACTGGATCAGACGGCTACAGCGAGGCGAGGTCAGACATTCGACAGCATTTTGATCCACTCAGTCACTGATCTGGTACGTTTGCTGCTCATGAACCCTTTGCAGATCACAGATACGCTGCCTTCGGTGCAACTAAAGTGGCTGGTCCTAAAACGAAGACCATCATCAAGTACTTGGATGACAGCACACAAAAAACTGAATTACAGACAAATTACTAGAATTCCACAAGTGACCGATGAGGTTTACAGAAAAAAAACCAAGACCATGTGGTAATTTCTCACATCTTCTAACCACAAAAAATATTAACTTCAACCATCGACAGCCTGCTATATTCCTGCCAATTTCAATTTACACAAGGAAAGACATTTATCTGCTTGAATAAATAATGATAAATGTTTTTTCATCAGTTTGATGATACATGTAATAGAATAAAATAAAAAAAACAACATTTTATTTACACCAAAACTAATACTGGAATCTTATTAGAAAATTATAAACACTTGCCAACTGGAACACTGAGCCAAAAAAATTGTGTTTATATGATATTGCTTGTTGGCAAACAGCTCCATAAAGCAACCCTTGTTATCCCAAAGCGACTCTAAGAATCCACCACCCATGTGGATTTAAGCCAGTGACGGTCCACATGAGGTTTCTGGCAGTAGGCTACTCTGTGAACATCATAATATCATAACCGAGGTTGGTCTGACACTGGAATGATACAGATTTCATAGCTAATATAGAATAAAGCACTGACTTACACACGCAAACTAAACAACAGACCCTTTAAATAGAATTTTCAGTCACCGAAAATTAAATGCGGTCTACAGAAGGCTCAGCCCTACTGTGGACCAACTCCAAATGACAGCTTGCCAGTTGCACTGTTTCACACATAAACATTAAAGGGAGATACAAACACAACGGAAAGAAACAACAGATCGAAAAGTGCTTTGAGAAATTTGACAGAAACCGAAGCTACACTAAAAGTTCAGTCTAATTCTGCAAACCCACTCTCTCAAAGACAAAATAAAACCGATAAATAATAAGTGCAACATAGCAAAAGTGTCTCATTTGTACCGTAGCTAATCATTAACAACCCCCCCCCCCAAAAGGAAGAAAATCTAAACGCTAATAGTTCTGGCTACTTTCCAAACATCAGCACAGTAATATGATGATTAGCTTATTACTCGTATACAGACTGCAAAAGAAGCTTGTTCTGGTTGTAATCCATAATATATTTCCAACATTGATGTGTGCTGTTAATGTTTGCTGTATATTCTGCAGGTCCTAGGTGACGATGCAGGTTAGATAGCCAAGCAACTGTCCTCTTCACTAGACTAACACATTCACAAACTAACCACTTTGCTGCTTTGTTTAGTAAAGAATATTCACAAGAACTACATGTGATAACCGGTACTTGCTTCAAGGTCGGTTGTAAAACGGGAAAAAAAAAAACAGTTATAGTTGAGATTCGAGTAACACTTGCACGCTTAAGTGTATTATTTATCTTAAGGTGCTAATACTGTAGATACATGTCATTACTCAGATATGTGCAGAAAGAAAAACAACAGTATTTGATGAAAAGGTAGAAGAGCTAGCACCAGTGATGTTTCAGACACACACACACACACAAACACACACACACCCTTGTTTTGACCTACATGGAGCACCAGGCAGATGCAGGCTTCTATAAAGACAGTCTCTAGATAGAACTTAGCACACCTCTTGTGTGATACTCCAAGGTAGGTATTAGTTACACTCACTCACTCACACACACGCACTCAAAGCCCAAAGTCTCACAGGTTGGGTTAGATTCAGTCCGGTGTGGGCCCAGTTGGAGAGTTGGTGGCCGGTGGAAGGCTCTGGAGGAGAAGGGGGCTCAGTTTGGAGAGCAGCCCGGGACGGGGCAGAGCCTGCAGGGAGGGGAGCAAGGTGGAGAGGCTGGGAGGCTGGAGGGAGTACAGACCTGTCATACTGACGGAGGCCGGGAGGGGGCAGGAGCCTGCCGCACACACTGAGGAAGACGAGGAGGACGAGGAGGAGGAAGGGGGTGAGAGTGGGGGGCGGGCGGGTGTGTGGCTGTTGCTGGGAGACCGGAGGATGGAGCGGTGGTGGGGGGGGCGTCTCTTCTCCTGAGGCTTAGTGTCTACAGAGAGGGAGACACACACCTGCTCAGTGGCATGCAGGGATTGTGCGCACATGCGTGGTGCGATCAGAAAGTTTGGAGACTGTTTGTGGCGCGTCGCAATCGAGCACGTGCACCATGTGTGAGCAGCAACTGTCACAAGTCAGGAGATGGCATGATACCGCGCTGTCTCGTTTTTGTGGCCACCGGTAGGTGCGCATGTACAGCCTCTCCATGGAGCTCAAACTAGAGCAAACAACACATTCAGTCAGCAGCCGGGATGATACAACCTTCATGAGAAGGATCATCACTGTTAATGAGAGGTGTGTCTGCAGCTACCACCACGAGAAGAAACAGCAGTTTTCTCTAAGGATGTCCCGATCACTGTTTCATTTGCTCCTGATCCATTTTAAGCTGATTCCAGATACCATTTTTATGATAATACATGGTTTAGGTACTATAGAATAGCTATAGTACCTGGTTGCAATACCAGCTGGAGCCTCTCAGTGTTTATTACTCTAGTGACCCCAAAGAGGCAGCTACTTCTGTGTTGGCAAGCAGAGAGCGTATATGAGCTTAGCTAGTAAAGGAGCACCGCGATAAAGACTTCCGTGAGGCTAAGTGACGTCAGGCCAGTGAACCAGTGTTAAAGTAAAAGGCGATAAACTACAGCAATAATCCTCCATTCCTGTATGACATCTGACAGATATGATCACAGCTTATTTCACATTGTCTTGAGACAACAGATAAAAACAAAGAACAGGCCATAGATTAATGCTGAAACTGATCAGTTTAAAAACTCCAGAGATCAACTCCAACCCTGGTCTAAAAGACCACATCAGGAACATTTTAGAGTTTGACTGTAATAACTTATTGAGGTGTGTGAGGAAGAACTTTGGGTAAAAACAACCCTAACTGTAATGGGATGGCATGTGGGTAGTCTAATGCCGTGATTAGGCACAGGTTTTTTTTGGCACAACAACAAAATGATCCCTCCCCACCTGCCCTACTTGCTAGATTTAGTTCCTTTTGACTTCTTCCTCTTTATTAAAGTAAAATTCAAGTTGAAGGATTCTTGAAGGATCTCTGTTTTGACATGTTTGACACTTGACACGCTCACAAAACAGGACTCACCGGGAGTGTTAAAATCACTGCAGGAGTGCGAGGAGTGCTGTATCATTTCACAAAAAGATTTCAACTCGAATTGTCGCCAAATTGTTTTGATTTTTATAGGCACAGTCTCTGAACTTTTTGATCGCACCTCGTACAAACATAAAGTGTCTGTGTGCTGCAACTGCTCTTCACTCTTAGAGACATGCACTGAGGCAAACAACACATTAACAGGCACAAAGTGAAAACGCAGATGGGATAAACTCTCATAATTGTTCTGTGCAATGGAAAACTTAAACAATCATTTGGTCTTTGAAAGAGGATTCAATAAAACTTAAAAGTCATGTTGGTGGTTTTTAAGGTAGGAAAATGCATGCACAGACAGCAGCAGCAGCAGGTGGAGTCATGCTAAAGTCATGCAGATGTCATTCTGATGTTACAGGGCACAAACATCCAGGGCATGGATCACTCATGTTTCCAAAATCAAGCTACTCCTTTGCCTGGGACCAGCTTTACATCACCATCACAGTAAAAATTGAAGCTGTCACACAGACACTGACACATCAACCAGCCATGAGCCTTTCTTCACATCTCCAACAGCAGAAAGAGAACATGGCATCAAGAGAGAGCAATGAGAGACATCACAAGACAGAATATATGATGAGAGAAAAGACAAGAGCAGAGGATCACCACAGGAGAGGCGATAGAAAATGGCAGCCAGTAACACAGGCAGACGGTTGAGGGATCAGCTTACCCCTGACTGGCCCGAGTGTCTTGTTGCCTCCACGTCCGCCGGTGTGCGTGCTGTTGTGCTGTGCGTGAGTTCGGGGTGGAGGGCAGCCAAAAGTAAAGCTCGGGGAGCTGTGCATCTTCGGAGAGGGTGTCTGGCTGCTGCTACTCTGGCTGTTGCAGCGGACACGGCTGAGGGTGTTCTCCGACGCTGATCCAGACAGACAGCTGAGCGGAAAGTCAAGACAAACACAGAAACTTTTGACGCAACTGTCTGTGAAAAAGAAACAAAGGTCATTGAAATGTGTGGGCTTGATAAATAGATGTGCTCACTTGTTGAAGCTCTTTGGCGGTGACACCTTGCTGCCATTGTGGTGTATTCTTGGGGGAGGGTGGATGTGTGTGTTCAGGCCTTTGGTGTTGCGGATGTGCTTGAGGATCCAGGCTCGGAGATTTGTCAGGCAGGTGTGCTCAGACAGCACCAGGCGTGGCCAGGGGTTACACTCGGCCATGTCCAGGGCAGAGATGGCCACGGCACGACCCACCTGACGCACAACATCAACTCAGTTTGCTTGCTTTCATCAGTATATCTTGTTAGCAGATACGTTTTGCAGTTACTGAATATCAAACGCATTAAAACCATGTGAGTAACAAACTCTAGCTAAGAGATATCAGCTGATAACAGGGACACAGTAAATTCTGTGTTTGAACAAGAAGGGTTTTTCCAGGCTCAGAATGGCCTTTCTGAGGTTGGCTAAGCATGACATTAAGCATAATTGGTCTGTGAAAGGCAACAAAGTCAGTGACTGAAATCTATGAATTTTCCTGGTATATCTGATCATTTAATATACAAAAATATCTATTAGTAAATTAAACCCTAATAAACAAAACTGGTCAAGTCGTACTTTGGCACAGGCTACTACAACTTCAGGACAGCATCAAAGTTTCCTCCATACACAAAAAAAACCCCTCACAAGATGAAAAAAAAAAATCCCACTTGTGTCCTCCTACCTGCTCAAATATTTCTGGAGTGTATTTTGGAGGGAATGACGGAGGTGGAGGAGGGGTCGCCCGTCCGTTGTCATGGCAGGCAGGTGGAATAGTGTTCATGGTTTTTCCTGTGTTGTAGTTGCACTCCAAAGTGTAACTGGTGGGTACACAATAACAGACACATGACAAAAATATATTAGGACATATTAGGTTGTGACCTGAGAGAGAAACCATTTAAGCATGGCCAGCTTTTGTTTTTTGCAAGTTAATATGTTCTGGACCCACATGGAAAGCGTAAGATCACTGTGAATCACACTTGTTTTGATTCTGAAAAAGCTTTAAAATTCCAAAAGTGTTTGATTAGGTTGGTAAAAGTTGCTGTGTGCTTATACTGAACACGAGCTCTTGTAAATGTAATGGTGTCTGACCTGTGAAGCAGCCCTATTGCCTTGTGAATGGCCACCCGACCACTGCCCTCTTTAGACTGGCCGTCTCTCTTGTCTCGTGCGTACATGTTTTTCTCAGAGAAGTTGCAGCCGAGGAAATCAAAGTGTGCAGAGTTCACAGCGATCAGCCTCGGATACAGCATGTTCTCAACCTGTGAAGACAAGGAAAAGGAAGAAATCCATTGCTGAAAACAATAACTGAACGTTAGTTGTCAATTTTCCAAAAATATTGCAAAGGGAGGGGATAACAATGTAGTCATTTTTACCTGTTGGCTCTCATCAGGAAGGCTATTTCCATACATGAAGCATCCACGTTTAGAGGCATGACCATGTAGGTCGACATAATACGCCACACCCCCTTCTTTGGGGGGCACTATTTCTGGTTCCTCCACCTTCGGTGCTTCTACTTCTACAGTAACAGGAGCTACAGTCTCTGAGGAACTTGATGAGCTGTTCTGGTCTCCTTTCCCCACCTCTGTGGCGACCCAGGCGTTTTCCTCCATCACCATGGGCACCTCTGGCTGTGCAGGATTCGCATCTTTCTCCGCGTTTCGTTCGTTCAAGCTGACTTCGAGGGCAGTGAGCGGAGGCGCTTGATGCTGGTTCGCTGGTTTGGGGTTCAGGGGAGCGGGCTGTGTGCGCTGGGAGCTGTTGCAGTGGCTGCTCGACTGCGTGTTGTGCAGGCGGTTGTGTGTGTGGTGGTACAGCAACAGTGTTTTGGCTGCATAGATGGAAGGGTGCAGCTCGGGGCTGGGGTTCAAGTATTGTCTGTTCAAGTTCACACCCCTGGAGTCGGTTCTACAAAACAAGAGAAAGGCTACAGCATTAAAAACAGCTTTTATTCAAAGACATGACAAAACCCAACAAAAATCCTACTCCTAAGCCTCCCCCTCTATAATACGGACAATCTATGCTGCATTTAACACAATTTAAATCAGTTTTGATAAAAATGGAACAGATGCACGTGTTTACCCTCATACACTGAGGAAGAGTGTCATTGTTTATTGATAGCACTGATACATCACAGTGACACAGGCTTAACCGACATCCGCCGTACGGGTCAACATGTCATCCGACCTGGCTCCTCTAGCCTCCTTGTGACCAGCAGTATGCTGATGAACATGAACTTAAATGACCAGGCTGCACTGGGCGTCCTGTAGACACCTGATTCCTTAAACTCTGAGCATTTGAGAAAAGCAGTTTTCCATAAATTGAGAAATTTCTCCTGTAAGCAGCTGATTTCTTGGTCATATATATGGAGAAATTGGTTGCTTGCATACTTTTTAAATGCATGCGTGTTTAAGACAAAGAATTCCGACAATGAAGGTTAAGCAGTGGGATGAAAGAAGATAATATTGCACATAGCTATACATCCTTGTACTAAAATAATTCCAAGAAAAACGAACATATTTCAAAAATTCAGACTCATTTGCAACAGAAAGAAAAACTGTGTGCTCCTACTACAGTCACTCATATAATATCCCACATCACTATGTGGTTGTAAGTTGACCTGGTTTCAGCGAACAAGAGTCCTCCTCACTTACCATTATTACAAATGGAAATTTCAAAGAGTGAGCAAGTAAGGAAGAAACCGAACCGAAACCTGACCACATCTGGTATGTATGTCATAGGACGCATTCAGTGTATTTATACTACATATAGAGCTACAGTTGCTGACTTTTTGAGTTCTAAGTCACAATCTCTGTGAAAAGATTTAAGGTTTTTGCATATGAAAGAAGTCTAAAATGTTCACTATGAACTAATGCCTGGGCAATATAATACACCTATGAAAATGGATTTGCTGTTTATTGCAAATGTAAGTTGAGACCTTTGAGAGAAAATAGGTGGCTGCCTTCAAACTAATGTCTTCATTTTAAAGCTCATACCTTCTGCCACATTTATGCCATTTGTCTACACTACTCTATTGTTTTAGGATCCCTAAAACTGAGACTTTTGGAAAACCTACTGACCCTGTTTTAGTTTGAAAACTCAAAGCTTGTGTTTTAGTCCAGATGGTCAGAGACTGAGACATTTAAAAACTATAAGGGAGACTCCCATGTTTGGTTTCTAATTGGGTCTAAACTGTCACTACTGATTCTTTGTCATGTTAATGAGTGATTTTGGGGGTAAAAAAACAAGACATCTTGATTACTAGTGGTTAATTAAACATGGATAGCCTGGCCTTGTTTTCTTTGCTAGCAGCTGTTGTGCAGCTAAGAAAATCTCTGGTCTTAACTTCCTCCATTGCTGCCTTTCGTAGTATTTTCAAAAACTAAACAAACAACCTTCTTCATGTTCGTGAGCACCTGTGTGCCCAGTTTAAATAGCCATGAGGTATCCATTTAAAGGCAGATATTAAAGATATTAAAATACCACAGATGAAATATTGAATATGATGAATGTAGATTTCCTTATTGAATGGTCTTGTGTATCAGCTAACACCACCACTGACAATCATCTCAAGCTGTTAATTGCTGTAACTGCAGCCAGACTGTAACTTCAGTGTCACCCTGCTGCAGCCCACGCAATATGCTGACGTTAACTAACTAGCTCAGTGAAAACAATGGCAGATCAATGCAGCATGACAACACATAACGTCACACCATAGACCACACTTTTCAAGAAGACTCTGGAGCTGTGCTGCACACTGCACTCATGAATACTATCGAGAGAAAAAACTCTTTCGTGCACAAGTGACACACCAAAACCGCAAGCAACAAAAATTCATCCGTGAGCGTCAAATGATGCTCACACTGTTGCTGTCAAGTTAGTTCCAACGTGAAATTCTTACCTGTAGTGTCCGCGAACAACCCCGTCTGGGTTGAGCATGGGAATGAGCTTGAACACAAACATGTTACGCAGCGCGTGTGCACGTGGGTCATCTCTTCTCAGGATGAAGTTGAGGAAACCGTTGAACACAAAGGATGATGGAGTCTCCCCAGGGTGCACCCGACTGCTGAGGAAAAACACCTGGGAGCATACCGGGAAGACCAACGGCAAAGGTAAGACTCCACAGCAGCAGCCTGAGCCTTACATACCGTCATAAAGCGCTGTTGGGAAAACTGATTGTGTGTTTATGTGTGATTCGGTGATACCCTTTTTCCGGGGAAGCGGTGTGGTCTTGGAGTGTTGGTGTCAGGAAACAGCTTCGGCAGACGGGCTTCTCTCTCATCCTGCATCCCGCTGCAGTTGGTCACAGTGAGCAGGTCCACCCTATTGCCATCTAGAGAGTGACACAGCACCTCCCTGTGGTAGTACACAGTGCCCGGTGCACTGGATAGAGATTGGTGGGAAAGAATTACAGAAGTTAGAGGGGCAGGATAAAACAGACAATTTAGCCAGATATTACTGACACAAGATTGAGGTTATGTGTGGTTTTTATGAATCACTTGTATGCTATACCTGCTCGGACTGAGTTGAGCAGCATTCGGGTAGTTCCCGTCCAACTGCTGCAGCATCTCCTGGCACTCGTTGTAGGAGAATGGGAAGCAGAAGGAGAAGTATGTGGTTGCCCCTCGCACCTCCAACAGCCGGTGAGTGAATGAAAGGATGAACTGGTTATCTACAATCTGGAAAGCAGCAGAAGAAAGCAGGAAGAGATGTATTATTAGAAAGATATTAATAGCCCACCTGACAGCCCTCTCCCTGATGCCTTCATCCTCTCCCTGACAGGCTGAGGTAGTGTCTACAACATACCTCCGATGTGGGCCTGTCCCGAACCCTTTCCCATCGGTTCTTGCCAGGTAACGTGCGTACCAGGGGAGCCATGCCCTGGCTGTAGAGCTTCCTCTGATTGTTCATGTTCATCACATTGATCTTCAGCAACTTCCCCGGAGCTGCCCCCCGCACGCTGAAGTAAAACCATGATCTGAAAAGCCAAAACATAACAAGGCATACTGTAAGTTAGGGTTGTTCACAGCGAGCAAAGAAAGAAGAAGCATTTTCATGTCTTTTGCTGTCATGCAAGTAACATAAAATACTCTCTACAAAAGCAGAAAATTTGTTACCGGTTTCCATTTTCAAACTCTGTGCCGGCGCAGTCTGGCTGCGTCCACACGTTGAACTCATAGTCAGGGGTGAGGTTTGACCCTGAGGAGGAACTCCCACTAGAGGCTGTATCTGAAGGAGGGCTGGAGCTGCCCTTCTCCACTTTTTCCACACGAGCAAGGTTCCCTGAGTCAAACTTGGAGCTAAACACAATATTACCAAAGCGAGCCTCCATGGCTCTCAACTCTGGCCTTGTTCACTTTTCTCTCCCCTCAGGTTTGTCTGTGAAGTGCCAGTCAGGGATCTGACATAGACAGCCTGGCAATAAATCAGGAAAAAAAACAACAATATATTAACAGTGGGGAAAAAAATCAATAGAAAAATATAAAAGAAGAAGAAGGTGGTAAATTACACAAAAGAGCATAAAATAGGAGTGATCCAGTAATCCAATAAAACCAAACAGGCCCTCAGTTTAATGTTGCGCAGCCTTTTATTGCAATAACAGAGTTGCAGAGCTGCGGTATTTGGAGCTACATGAATATATATATTTCTCATCTAACTAGAGAGGCTTCATCAGACTTCTAAATCGATTCTAGATCTGTGGTTTGAATTACAACGAGTGCAGCGCGAACACAGTTAGAAGATACTGCATGAAGGATCATAGTAAATATCTTAGAGTCTACGTTAAGGAAATTCAGAGATGATTTGTTTCTACACACACTGTGATCAGTAGTTACTACACCTTCTTCAGTTTACAGGTTTTACAACATTTCTAAGAATAATGAGATGAAGAAGAGGTGGACTGATTTTGTGAAAAAAAAACAGAGAGAGAGCCACCAACACCCGCCTCTGCAGTGATCATTTTACAGTGGGTAGTTTTACCAAATTTAATGGGAGACAAATGGAAAGCAAGTACAAATCCTCTACTAATGAATGCGGTCAAAATCAGTATCAGTCTCCTCGGCCTTCATTCTGCCAACCCACTAACATCTGGTGCCACTGTCAGTGGAATACGCCCACCAATGAGCGTAAGTTGCCTTATGTTGGTTAGTTTATTATACTACTAGTCCACAGACAAAGTGACAAAAATATTCAAATTTGGTAACTGGAAAACTGTTCCTCACACCCAACCTGTTTGGTTCAGTTAAAGAAAAATCAGGTCTGTTTGCACGGTTTGTACAATTCATCTGGGCAGGTGTTAAAACTGTCAATTAGCGCCGGCAGCAGCGACAGTTATTTTTCTTTTTCACAGTTTTGAAACCAAATTTTATATACTTGCCAATCCTATCAATCATTCAAATTTAATCGGGTGGTTGATAACACAGTGTTCTGTGGTGTGACAAACTCAGAACACAGATTTTTCTTTTTACATGGACTTTAAACACCACAGGGAATAGGGCTGAACAGTTAAACGATTTCAAATCAAAATGGCAAACAGTGCAATTAGTGAATCGCAAGGACTTCAATTTGGGATATTAAATAAAAAATCGATTAAAGAAAGACACTAATGCAGTAATTGAATTATATGAAATTAGAGCAGATTGAAAATTTCTGGGGTTATTTGTGCTGCCGACTGATCAGCGTATACTACACGGATCAGGCTGCACACTGCGGTTCAACTGATGTGAGCCCAGTCTTGTTATTTAATAACACCTCGTACATTTTGCAGCACGTCTGACCGGCGGTATTAGCTGTTGTGGCAATGGTTTTACAAATTCATGCCGTCCTACTTGTGTAACAGTGATGCTTTTGACGGTGTCTCATGTGTTAATGCTCCATCGCACGTTTTAAATCTTTTACACCGTGAATATTGAACTGACTTTTAAAAATGACATTGAAATCAGATTGCAATATCTATCGCAATTTACTCAAATCGTTCAACCCTAACTGAGAGTAGTAACTTGTAACTAAAACTCAAAATCTCTCGATGCCAGTAAACGCTACATCAAGAAAGTCGGATTAAATCCAGCACATTACACTACAATGCTTTGTGTTGCCTGATACAAAAAGAAAACTTAAGCATTTCTCAATTTCCATGACTAATCCACAAGGGAAGTCTGTCTGATAGAACATACTTTAACGGTTCTTGGATACACTAAATCGTATTTTATTTTATCGGTTATTTATTCACAGGTTTTGTTGACATGCAGACTCCAGGTGTGAACAGTAAAAGAAGCATCATGAGAAACACTGAGAAGGAAGATCCAGGTGCAAAAAGAAGCAACCTGTCAGTTGCATGGAAATGTTTCAGCTATAGAAAGGATGACGTTGAACCAAAAACAGCAACTCTCTGGGCATTGCCTTGCAACCACTATATGACGTGACCAGTCTGTTTGAGCATCAAAATCAGGAGCACAACGCTGTGTATGGCGAGTGCAAAGCCTGATCTGAATCATCCAAAGCAAAAACACTATCATTGACACCTTTGCTGTTGTTATATGAGATGCAGATACTCTGCCCCACAAAAACACTGCAATTACTCTAGTATGAAGAGTTCTGCAAATCATGTGGTAAACTTTACTGCAATTTTTTTATATTGTAATGCTTTTTTAAAAAATATTGTGCAGCCCTAATTTGATAGTAGTTACTCTTTACATCTTAAAAGCTAAATATAATATCTTTTAACACAAGTGGGGAAACTAAATCTGTATTTAATGGACATTATGGCTCACTTACAACAACAAAAATGTACATTTCACTGAACAGCAGGTATCTTTACTTGGAGCCAAGCTAACTCCAGCTGTACTCTTTAGTAGTGAGCATGTATTTAGAGACAGTATTTTGTGTGGATGAGGATGTGAATGACTTGCTTCACTGCAAGTCAACACACACCAGTGACAACATGAGGCCATCAAAGAAACTGCAACCATGGCTACAACCAAACAACACAACGTTTTCTACGATTATAACAACACGTTAGCCTGCAGCTAATTGCTGCACGGTTGCTTTGTTGTCGTTGGAGGCGACACGGCAGCACCCAAAGTCCAGCAAATCTGAAATAATGGCCCCGTTGTTAGATTTAATGCCAGCAACGGAGCGATAACAACAACAGCTGACCGACAAATGGAGCACAGAGTAAAGGGGGAGTGAACTAACGGCTGCAGACGTTACAGTCGCCCTACAAAAACCTCATTAGAGCTAAAAACATTATTTAGGCTAAATTAGCCGGCTAATATTCACTACAATGCTAATCTTAGTGGTCAGCGTCACACCGGTAATGTTACACACAGCTAATTACGCTAGCATACGTCTTGCTACTGAGGCTAACTTAGCAACCGAACTAGCAACCGTAGCTAGAAACGGACAGTGCTTTTATGCAAACGCACGCATATTTTTTCCTGTCCTTACATTATCACTACATTTAAACTGCGCCAGAGCCTTCAAATTACAATAAGAGCTGTCATTCTTACGAGGCTATTTTCGTTGGATGTCCATTTCTGTTGTCATCGTCCTTCCCAACCCTCAATTCATTGCTCAGTGCTGCGTTCACGGTCCTCCGGAAAAATGACGTCGCCCGGAAATTTCCTTATGTAGCCTTGTGTGTGTGTGTTTGTTGTTACCGCCAACGAGGAGAGAATTGTTTAGTTTTTTTTTTTTTTTTAAAACATGTGATCAAACCAATGTTTTGTCTGTTTTAATTTCTGAAAACTAAGCATGCAAAAATAATGTAAGAAATGTACATAATTGCATTTATAAACATTCCATATTAATCAAAATTACATTGTCTTGGAAATTTCCTAAAGTAGTCTTGTTTGTGTTTGTTGTCCAATCAGGAGAGAATTGTTCCAATAAAACACACTGTAAAACTAATTCTATGTATTTTGTCACTGTTTAAACTCAGCAGGATTTTAAAAAATGTATATACATATATGTATATATATATATAGTTAGGTGGGCTATAAGGTGGGGCAGTTGGTAGCACTGTTGCCTCGCAGCAAGAAGGTCGCCGGTTCCCATCCTGGTGAGGACACCTGGGATCTCTCTGCGTGGAGTCTCCATGTTCTCCCCGTGCAGCGTGGGTTCTCTCCGGGTTCTCCGGCTTCCTCCCACAGTCCAGAAACATGTTGAGGTTAATTGGTGATTCTAAATTGTCCGTAGGTGTGAATGTGAGTGTGCTTGGTTGTCTGTCTCTAAGTGTGGCCCTGTGATAGACTGGTGACCGGTCCAGGGTGTCCCCTGCCTTCACCCTGAGTCAGCTGGGATAGACTCCAGCCCCCCATGACCCCAGTGAGGATTAAGCGGTGTATAGATAATGGATGGATATAGTTAGATTAAACACTCCATTGTAACCTCTACTGGACTGTGGTGACCCTTAAAAACAAAAACTCTACGAATTAAAAGTCATTAATATTTCGACTTAAGAAAGTAGCATTTACAGCAAAATGTAGTGAAGGTATTAAACTAAATGGACCTTGATTGCTTCGACTGAAATGCAATCTCATAATCAAAGAGCCGCTAATGCACTGCAGGCCTGGAGTGTACGCGGGCAAAAGAACCCATTGTCCAAACAAAGTGTGTTGTTTTATTTATCAGATGCAAGCCATCAAGCAAACAAAAGAACAAAGAATCATGGCTCCTGTTGCCTCCATTGATCTGGAAAAATCCATAGGCACCTCCTTAAAGCATGCTGGAGCTGTACCTGCCGACCTGCTGGTGTGCTATTCAGTGTCCGTAGAGATACCCTGTACTTACAGAATAAATAAAACAAACAGAAACTAATCAGAGGAAGCAAAACAAACAAAAATCTAACTAAATAAAAAACAAACAAACACAAATATCACAGAATATTCAACAACAAAACCACTGAGGAGCTGCTCCGGCTAGATTTGTTAGTATGACATCATCAGATTATTCATACTGAGGCATTAGTGGGGATTTAAATGTGGGCTAAACTGGAACAACATGAGCAGAGGGTAATTCAATCATAGTAGAAACAGCTTTGATTTTAAAATGTGAAATCTTGCAAAAGGCCTCCAGGACCTGAGGCAGATGTCCCTTCTACTGGGAGAATCTTACCCACAAGTCACTCTGAGCATCACTAACCTGCTATTTATGCATAAAAATAACTTTTTTTTCCAAAATTCGATGTTGCTCTGACTTTACCAGCGACACACATGTTGCATAGCGTTACCATACTTCATATATCACAGGGAGGCAATCACTCATCTGTGCCGGACATGTTTTACAAACCATTGGTAAACTCCTGGAAAATGAATGCTTAACGTAACACCACTGTCAGTTCAAACCTAGACTTACAGGTTGCATAACAATGAATCCATGAAGAAATTAGTAGCTATTAATTTCTGGTAAAGTTGTAGCCACTCCGTATTTAGGATTTACTTTGTACCAAACCATTTACCTGATGAAGGTCTCGCACTGAAACGTTGCTAATATTTATATTCTCGTAAGTTGGACCGTGTGGTTGTCCCTCTCCTACAAACCTGTCTCCTGAAATAGATGTGCAAAGAGTTCCTGTGTCTTGTATGTGTTCTCTAACACTGATGTATTTAAGTTTGTAATGCTCAGAGTGAAGTGTGAGGTGAGATTCCCCCAGTAGAGGAGCATCTTCCCTCCATCACTGTTATTATAGTGATAACACACTGCATAGCAAAGAACCGTATATAATATATTATTACAAATATTATATAGGCTACTGACTATAGTACTTACTATATATATAAACTATATGTAACACATTACATATATTAAATTATTATATAGGCTGCAGACTGTGTCATATATACATACATCCTGCATAGACTACACAGGATGTGTTCATACACAGTACATATTACACGATATATTATATACAAACTGTACAGTAATGACTGTGTATGTAGACTACATATTATTAATATTTACCAATGTTAGACTGTATATAATGTATACATATACTGCATAGAATACACAGTATATATTATATATAGAATAGAATAGAATAAAACTTTATTGATATAATATATACATCCAGACTGTGTAGTAGTGTGTGGGACTTTTTTTTTTTTTTTTTTTTTACTTTTACAGAATTAAAAAAAAAAATTATTGCCCAAGTTATACACTTCACTACACCTTTATTAACATTATTATATAAATTCCTGACATAAAAATAATGTAAATCAGCAAACAGGGGATGGTTAGCCAATCGAATTCTAGCTAGCTTGCTAGCTGCAGCACTAGTTAGCTGGCAAGCTAATATGGAATATAGCTATTAGCTTAACATGACTCAGCTAGAAAGTCTGATAGACAGATAATAATATATATTTACTGCTGGTTAGCTAATATTCCGCTGTATTAGATGATTGTGAACATAATATTTCAGCTAATGCTAATGTTAGATGAGAAACCCAACATTAGCATGGCTAGCCCAAAGTATCACTTGTTTTGATTTAAATTGTTTTTGTTTAAAGTTTGGGCTACATGGAGTCAGGTCATGTTCCAGAGCTGACTCCAAACTCCAGTGTACATCTTGCCCTCAGAGTGTGTGGACGCTATTTGGATTTCGCTGTGTTTTACTCAGAGAAAACAAATTTTTTCCTGCTCGATATCGATGAACAAGTGCTTTTTTGTTGCTGCAATGCATCGGTAAATACTTGTTTTGTTTTTTTGGTAAAAATAGCTTAAGTGAAACTGTCTTGCTGAATTTGGTTAGAGCTCGCCTCTACTTCTTTTTAGAAATGTTTTGACTGATATTCATGGTTTTTTAGGATGACAGTAATGCACATTGATGCAGTCCCCGTGCTTAAAGCAAAATTTAATGGTGCTTTAATGCTAGTTTTTGCTAATATTCGACTGCAGGTCAGAAGGAAATGCTTAAGTTTGTACTTTACTACATTTTTCTGAGAGCTTTATTTTCTATTTGCACACAATTTTTGAACACAAAATATACATAGAAATTGAAAAATACGTTTTTTGAGTTTTTTTTTTTAATAACCTAAACTACTAGGAGGTATTTAGCAGTGTAGCTAAAACCACAATTAGCTTATTCATTAGTAGCAATTTGACACTGTTTAAAGTACTTGCTTTAAACAGTGTGATTTCTTGCTGTTTAAATAAGTTTTTTCCAATCCCCAAAAATCAATAAATTAGTCCCAAAATCTAATCAGCAGATTATACAATAATCCTTATCATCATTAGCTGCAGTTCATGCTAAAAAAAAATTATCTTTATTTTCAATTGTAGCTTTAAAAATATATCAATTTTAACATTTCTGAAGCTTTTTTGTGATTAGCTTTTAAAAAATGCACCATTTTGAAAAAAAAACAACAGTGGCTGCATGATGAACATACAGGATGCGTTTCTATTTGCATTCAAAATGTGTTGGAACAGTTTGAATAAAAACAACAACAATATTTGTGGAATAAGGTGCGATGGTGTCAGTGTTTGATTTTAAAACATTCCACATGTAATCCAGAAGTAATCAAAATAGACTGCACTCAGTAATCCAATGAATTATGGTTCTAATTATAGAAATTGCCAAATGCTGCATGACTGACACCGACTATTACACTTTTATACAACTGTTGTTATCCTGTTTTGGCCTTCATTCAAAGCACGGTCTTGACTGCATCCACAATGATTTCATGTTCGTCTAGCTTTTTTTTTGCTTTCTGAAAGTTGTAGAATACACATAGTTTGTGCCAGTACTGTGTTTGTGGATTTGATCAATTGTAAATGACAGTAAAACTGCATGTTTGTTTGCATTGAAGATGTTTCGAGATGTTCAAAAGAAAACACATTTACTTTTACAGTGTTGTGTTAGTGCTTTGTCTTGGCTCAATGTAAGTACCTGTGAATAGTTTTCCAGAGTATTTAACACGTGTGAATGCTTCCTATTCTGCAGTTTATTTCTGATTTGTTAGTGCAATGGGAAGTTTTCTACATCTCTACTGTTTTGGTTTCTAAATAGTGTGCTAACATGCAAATAACCCCCCTTTAGCCAAAAAAAGAACGTGGCTTCAACATCCTCGGCGCCAGTTCAGCCCCCTCCCAAGTGGTTTGGGCCCAGTGATCCTATCAGCCAGGATTTCCCCGAAGACAATGACCTGATCCTGACCAAAAAACTGACTGAAACCTTGCAATCATATGACATATATGAGAGCAAAGAGGAGCTTCAGAGGAGGTATGGTACAGATTTTTCCTGCGCCACTGTTTTCATGTCGTAACATCTGTACTCATGCACGACTACAAGTGAAGGTGACGATGAGCTCTGGAGAAATGTGACAAATACAATCTTTTTCATTTGCAGAGAAAGGATTTTGAAAAGACTGGAGCTCCTCTATAAGGAATGGCTCCAAGAAATGTGTGATGAAATGGTACGAAGTTGTTTTTTTGGTGTTGTGGTTTTGTTTTTTTGAGAAAGACCGTACATTTAGATTATTGTGCTTTTTGATTTTAGAATGTGCCTGAAGTGGTGAAAGACAAAGTTGGAGGCAAGATCTTACCATTTGGCTCTTATCATCTGGGCGTGCACGGCAAAGGTAACTAGCTTAGCTTTAACTAATAATCTTTTTTTCTAAATGTGTTTATTCTGGATCTCGTACTGATTTAAAGCAGTACAGAAGCGTCTCTGTCCTGACGTCCCTCTCGTGTGACTCTGTTTGTCGCCAGGTGCTGATATTGACGCTCTCTGTGTTGGACCCGGATTTCTTGATAGAAAAGAGTTCTTCACCTCTTTCTTTGAGAAGCTTAAAGCCCAGGGGGAGGTCAAGGACATACGGGTTAGTCATATAACGTGATTCCTTGTGTATGACTTGAAGGACGTTTTCCTCCCGAGCGCAAGAGACTGACAGTGTTGTTGTTTACAGGCCATTGAAGAGACATATGTTCCTGTCATCAAACTGACCTATGGAGGCATTGAGGTTACTACACTCTTTAGAAGATGCTTTTTTTTTTTTTTTTTTTTAAAGATTTTTGATTTCTTACCCGTTGTTTCTGTGTTTCAATTCCTTTGTAGATTGACTTAGTCTTCGGCCGGCTGGCACAGAGGAGCGTTCCTGAAAAACTCAACCTTCTTGATGACAAATACGTGCAGGGCATCGACAAGTACTGCATGAGGAGTCTTAACGGTAAGCTTCACATTAAAAGTCATCTATCTAAAATCCTGCTTGGCAGATCCACTCAGCTGGCCCTGCTAACTGTTATTCTATTTATTTTTAGGCTACAGAGTTACAGAAGAGATCCTGCAACATGTCCCCAATGTTCATAACTTCAGGATCGCTTTGAGAGCCATCAAGCTTTGGGCCAAAAGTGAGTTAAACACCTTTTTTTTTT